ATAGTTCTGGAGGGAGTAGTCCTAGGGAATAGCCCAAGAATGCAAAGCCTACCTCTGTGATCCAGCCAGCAGTACCTGCTAAAGCACTTGATTCTTGGGCTAAGTAGCTTAAAAGCCAGAGAGTTGTAAAAGAATGGTCGAAAACAGCCTAAGAACTTTATACAACTTGTAACACTGTGCTTTCTTTGATGCAATTTTAAATCAGGTTTTTAAATTGGCTTTCATCAATCTTTGCCTGGTTTGCTATATTTCAGATGTTGAATTTAGGACGGTGTTCAAAGATTTTTATGGGTTCCAATTCCAATTTACCATTCTTCCTTTACTGACTTCCTTTTGGAGTTCACCAGCATATGAGTCCTTGAGGACCAAAAAAAGCCCAATGAATTAATCAAAGGAAAAATGTTCTGTTTCTCCCATTTAGAAATTCGTTGAAATATAGATGAAGTCCATCCTGAACAGCAGGACGTTCTGAGAAAGCCATCAGACTAAATGCCTTTATGAATAACTATTATGTTAGAAGCTCAAAAGATCTTACACCTCAGCCAGATGAATAATCAGGCCACCAAGGAACACAGGGGACAAAATGAACATAATGGTGTTCTATACATTTCTTCTCTGCTCATATGAACACTTAACAATATCTTGGCATTTTTACCACCATATACACTTTCAGGTAGCTTCTCCTGGTATCTCTGATGCTTCTTGACCCTAAGTCAAGGACTTCTGGAAGCTGCTTTTGTTTCCTCGGACCCCCAATGTGCTATGTGCAGTATGAAATAATTGCAGTATGAAGGCAACATCCTGCTTTACTTATAGGAACTGGTACTCTGGGCTCAGGGAATGTTGCCACAAATGCATGTTATGGAAATATATGCCACAAATTCATTTAAGAAAGTGATTAATCAGTATTAAAAATAAGTATGTGTATGTGTATGTGTATATATAAACATACATATATAACCCTAACCCAAATCAAGCTTTTGATTACCCCTACCTGTCAAATTACAAAGAGAGAAATATTATCAGTATTTATCCCTCTTTAGCTATTATAAACTGTTACTTGCTACGTACAGGTATTTATAAGCCTGAATTACTACAGGAGGCTTATGAGTTTAAAAAATACAAATGCTAAATATCAGTATTTTACTATATATGCATGTGTGCATATATAAACACAACTTACGTATTTTACAATTTTTTAGTAATCATACTAGTCTTTTTTTCCTGGAAATTTGCCAGTTAGGAAAATCATTACATCATGTAAATAATTTCCCTGGCCCCAACCCAATTGCATAAAAGCATTCTTTTTTCCAGCAAAATGTGTATTTGGAAAGTGCCTAGTATGTAGTGTTCTTCTCCAGATCATAATACCTGAAGCACACAACAGAAAAAAGAAAAAGGAAAATTGTAACTAAGCTCACCAATCCCAAACCATATTAACAGAACTTTTGTCATGATCAAAGGATCAAGCAAATGAACTTCAAAAATGAGAGCCACCAACCGCACAGTTATCTTTAAATTCAAGAGGTACGTTGTAAAAATAAATGGAACACAATCCAGGAAAGTAGTGGAAGAGAAGCCCCTTGAGAATGGTGATGGGTAGGAAGTCCAGAGATCCAGGTTATAATGCTCATTGTGCACCTGACTAGTTCTATGATGATGAGCGAAGTTATCAAAAACTTTCAGACTTCATATTCCTCATCTACAAAGTTAGAACACTGGATCACATGACCTAAAATCCATGCCAGTTCAAAATTCTAAGATGTTTAAGACAATCTCTTTAATACCTAAAGAGGCTTCGTGACACTGATCTTGACTCCCAAGGCTGCACCCTGGTTGTTGGAAAGATTTGGCTTTGTCACTCTCCGACACAACTGGATGGGTTTGGAGAAAAACAGGAAAGACGTCATGTGTGATACGCGTGTGGCCCCTGAAGAGAAAGGACACTCCCTGTTTCATTAATTCCCACAGGATGCTCAGTATCTTTCATCTAACACAGACCGGACCTACTCAGACACTGCCCCTACAGCTGTATATTATTAGTCTGTGCTGTTCTAGTGGGACTTATTGTCTATTTGATTCAAGGAGGAAGACTGTATCAGCATTTTCAAAATGGGAATATAAAATATGTTTTATTTCTAATTTGAGTAACTCAGAGTAGCAGTGGAATTGGCTCTTCTCATATACACGGTTTAAGGCAGGAAAAGGAAGGAGTTCTGAGCCCTAGAACACAAGCAGAGGCTAACCTCTACAAGAGAGTGCCCTGGCTGGGAGAACACCCTGCCACTTTAAACCGTTTATCCACCTCTAATGAACAATGGCAATCCAGAGGCTGACAGGGAAGGTATGGAAAAATCAATGAGCGCTCACTTTGATAGACAATTCTGGGTACAGAACACCTGCCACAGGTAATAAATCACTTCATTTAAGTTTATCTTTTTACCAGTGCACAGTGGATTATACCCATACATCACTTCGACCTCTCTTTTCTACCCTGTTGACAAGGATAAATTGAGAAGGATGGTGGGAAAACTGGGAAAAAGAAAGGAGGAAAACAGAAGAGCTCTGTTACTTGGTCTGTGTAGTAAAAGAAATTAATAATAATAATAATAATATAATAATAAAGCAATGTCATTGTTTTCTAAGCATCGGTTCTATTTATAAAATTTTATGGTGCTTCCTATACCAATGAAGTTACCTTAGGTTGGAAGATAAAGGTAGCTTTCTTTCCAAACCTCTCTGGATGTACTATATATCTACATAGTCTCAACAAAAATCTCAAACACTTGACTTTTCTAATAATGGGTGAATTTATGAGCTACAATCATGACAGTGCTTAGAAACTGGTGCCCCGCAAAGCCTTGAAACACAGAATTCGATATGGGAGTTCTGGTTCAGCAACATGGCAGCAGACTAAGATAATGCGGAGAAACAACTTCCACTACAAATACCTAGGAATGCTGGGTCAAATATAATGTGAGAAAGAAAGGGAAAAGCCAAGTAAAAGTATGTGAGCTGATGATTCTGAGGCTACTCTGGCAATTTATAAATTTGAGATTTTTAAAAGCCAAGTGGATAAAAGAAGTGGAACCTTGAGCTGCCAGGAGGCTGAGGGTTGAAAATAAAACCCCTGAGGAAAGGCAGGATCCTCATAGGGGTGTTTCCTCGGTGAAAAGGAAGACTAGCGGAGAAAAACTCATCCCTTGAAAAAGGAGTCCAAGAGGACAATTCTGTGTGTCTTTAGGCTCTGAGTAGGGAAAACAAAAACAAAAACAAAAAAACTCTCTCCTGAAAATTGTAAGACCCAGATCTGAGCCTTGAGCAGAGTGAACCAGGAAATGCCAAACTAAGAAATTAGCAGAAATGTTGGTGTCTCTGGGATCCCACTCCTGGGATCTCGAGAAGCAGCAATGCAACTTGTTCTGGAAGGACCTTGCTACCAGGCCACATAAGATCCCCACAGGAAAAAAAAAAATCCCCACTAAAAATCAGCTTATAAGAAAATTAAAAATTACAACATACCGTGAGCAGAAAACAAAACAAACAAGATTATTAGAGTTCCAGGAACTAGGGATAATAAAGTTACATTTTGAAAAAAGAGAATACAAAAATTTACAGGTTTAAAATTATTAAAGACATGAAAGTAAGAAATAAAATTCAGAGGAAAAACATATGGAAAAAAGTAATGGATTTAAAAATAAGCCAAAAAGAACTTCTGGAAATGAACATTATAATCACTGAAATTAAAAAGTCAATAAATAGGTTAAATAGCAGATTAGACACAAACGAAGAGAGAATTAAGTAAAATGAAAGACAGATTTGAGAAAATTACCAAAAGGTATCAGAGAGAGAAAAGAAGCACGAAAGAATAGCTAAGGGAATAGAGAGTACAATAAAAATGCCCATATGCATTTAATACAAGATCCAGATGATGAAAATAGACATGTGTTAGTTTACGTACACCAAGAAGCAAGTGCCAAGAAAGAATGTTGAGAAAAGTAGTAGATAAGGAGAACCTTCAGATCACGATACAGGTGTGACACAAATGTTAACACCTGTTTAATCTTTCTGGTGGGCACGCAGGTACGAGTTTCATGATTGTCTATACACTTTTATATATTTGAATTGTTTTTAAAATAAAAATGTTTTAATTTTTTAAATCCACGAACCCAATGACCAAGTAAAAATCTAAGACCACAATAAATAACAATATTCTCTCTCATATATACCGCTTGAGAGTATAAACTATGCAACTTTCATAGAGGACGATTTTGCAAGATACACCAAAAACTTTAAAAACGTAAATCCTTTTTAATCCCATGATGAAATTCTTATAATTTATCCCAAGGAATAATCAGAGATGTGTACAAATATGTATGTACTAGTTCACAGCCAAGTTACACCTAATGGTGAAAAATTCAGAACAACTTTAACGTCGTTGGGAATTGCTCTAGTAAATTTTAATGCATCTGTAATAACGATAGTATGCAGGCACTAAAATTCAGGTTATAGAAGAATATTAATGACAAATATTATATGAGTGAAAAAGATACAAAGCGGTCTCCATAGTGTGAGCTTATTTTTATTAAAAAATATGTGTGAGTGTGTGTATGTACACAGAGAATGGGCTACAAGGAAAAAGCGTAATGTGTTACTGATGTTTTATTGTGCTTTTCTGTGTTTTCCAGGTTTTCTGCAGGGAACATATGGTGTTTTGTAATTAGAAAAAAAAGCAATAATTATTTCTAAACTAAGTGGCGATAATAATTTCGGTTTATATTCTAAGGCCGGGGTCCACAAACTACATCCCACATTCCAAATCCAGTCTGCCACACATTTTTGTGCTGTCTGTGAGTTAAGAATGGTTTTACATTTTTATTTATTTTATTTTATTTTTTTAGAGGAGGAGTTGGGGAGGGAGTTAGAGGCTGGAAGGGCCTTCAATTGGATAAGGCATTTCCTTATCCAGCCTGTTTCTCCACCCATGGATATCAGAAAAGCAAAATATAGAACATCTCACGAATTTGCATGTCGTCCTTGCTCAGTGGCCACGCTAATCTTTTCTGTATTGTTCCAATTTTAGTATATGTGCTGCCATTCCAATTTTTATATATGGTTGGGGAAAATATCAAAAGAATAATAATATTTACGATATGTAATTCTAAATCTTGTATTTAATCTTTACAACAACTCTGTGAAGTAGGTACTATTACTCATAGACGAAGGACGAGAAGCTTCCAAATAGATATGTACATAGTTAAAGATCTCATAGTTACTGAGTCCTTGTGCTGGAATCCAAACCCAAGAAGTCTTACCCTAGCACCTCCATTCTTAATTTGCTTCCCCCACGTGAAAAGTTCTCCAACACTATGAGGGCGAATGCAGCCAGCACATTCTGGTGAATTCTCAGGATGGAAGGCCATGGTGTTTCGGGAAAGCCCCTTACAGAAATGTCTGCAGAACTGACAGAGAAAAGCAAGCAGGGAGAAGTGACAGGCAGTCACAACGCTGACGAAATCTCCCACACCTGAAACTCTGGAGTAACCAATAACCCAGATGATTCTCTCTACCAAGCTGTTCCACAAGCTCTGAGTCATTTAGAGATTGAGTTTCTTTTCTTCTTCTCTGGCCATATCTGTATTTTTTTATCCGTTACCTATCACCAAGGAATAACAGAAAAGAAAGTAAAACCTAGTTCAGTCAGTTTATAGCTTCTTAGAAACTGGCAAAAATGGTTCAAGAAAGAGATATGACTTTTGTATCATCTCTGAAGTTAATTTATCAAGTGTTCTTTATTACCAAAAATAACTGAGAACTCATACTAAGTATCAGTTTGTTCATTCATTCATTCATTCATTCATTCAATAAACTCTAAGTATTTACCATGTACCTTGTACAATGGCACTGTGCTAGATGGATCAGCCCTAGAACAGCTCACAGATTAGGAGATACATTCAATACAACACAAAATATCCTATTACAATAGAAAGCAGTTTGAAAAGACTACAGGGAGATACCACCACATACATACTCATTAGCATAGCTATAAATAAACGACAGATAATACCAAGTATTAGCAAGGATGTGGAGAAACCGAAACCCTTATACATTGCTGGTCAGAATACAAAACATAAATTGCACCCACCACTTTGGAAAACTTTTGAAGTTTCTTCAAAAGTTAAACATATACTTAGCATATGACCTAAAAATTCTAGTCCTAAGTAACTACCCAAGAGGAGGCAAACCTACACACCAAGACTTGTATACAAATGACCACAGCGGTATTTTCGGAATAGCCCCAAATCAAAAATGACCCAAATATTCATCAACTGGTAAGTGGGTAAACAAAATATGGTGTATCCACACAATGGAATATTACTTGGCCATAAAAAAGAACAAACTATTGACACATGGAACAACATGGATGAACTCAATAACAGCATGCTGAAAGAAGCCAGTCTCGAAAGGCTGCACACTGTATGATTTAATATGCGATTTCTAGAAAAGACCAAACTATAGAGGCAGAAAGCAGATCAGTGGGTACCTGAGATTGGGGTGAAAGCAAGACCTGACCGCAATCAAGCGTGCAGGGAACTTTTGGGGGTGATGTTAAGTTCTAAAACTGGATTGTGGGGATGGTTACACAAATGTATGGATTTACTAAAACTCATCGTATACTTTAAATGGATGAATTTGTGATATGCAAATAATACCTCTATAAAGCTGTTTAAAACAAAACTGTAGGACCTAATTGCTTGAGGTGGAGGAAAGAGTAGGGAAGCCTTCAAAAGAGAGAA